GGTTTTTGCATCGGTTGGCTAGGCCGTGGTTAAGGCAAAAACCATAGGTTTTTGGCTAACCACCCACCCAGCGATGGGAAGAACATCCCATCGATGGGTAAGCGGCCCCTTAGCCAAACCAACTTCCAGAACCATGCCAAACAGCGATGGGAGGTTCTACCCATCGCTGTTAAAGCCTTGGTCCAACATTATCACAAGGCAGAATGACCTTACCCAGCGATGGGAAGCTTTACCCATCGATGGGAACCCAGCGATGGGAAGGCTTAACCATCGATGGGAAGGCATGACCGTTGTATGTCATTTAAGGTTGATTCTTTCCTTGTTTGGAAGTCAACCTCCCACCCAGCGATGGGAAGCATGTACCCATCGATGGGTAGGTGACCGTTGGCTTCAGAACTGAAGGAAAATTGGCCTACCAGCGATGGGTAAGGTCCATACATCGCTAGGAAGCCAATATTCTGCAGATCCCAAATCTTTTCAATCCCATAAATCAAGCTAATCACCCCTTTAATGCATTGGTCCGTTGGAGCCTATTTTGGCACTATAAAAAGGGGTGTTTGGGTCTGCTTTTCTCATCAATTCAACTTCACAACATTCATACTTTCATTGCATTCAAATATCATCATTTTCCATAACTTTCTAGAGCCATTTTGTGTGGAGGTTGAGTTGTTCTTGAGCGTACTTAGTTTACTCATAATCTACTCTATAAGAGAGCCTCGTTCTTGAGTGTATTCGTGTTCTTAGACACTTTGAGAGAAAGTATTTCTCTCGGTAGATTCAAAGGAAGGGTTGTTTCCTTTGAAGGACTCGTTGAGGTTCGTGTAACTCGAACTCTCAAGTTGTAACGGTTTGTTAAGCACCCGCAAGCTTAACGAGATAGTAGTGTAGCTCGAGAGAGTCTCTCGGGGGGCTGGATTAGCCACAAGTTGTGGTGAACCAGGGTAAAATTCGGTGTGCCTCTTACTCTTCTCTTTACTTCTCTTTTAAGTTTTTAATTCCTGCGATTTCTACGATCAAACGCTATTCACCCCCCTCTAGCGTTGGTCTTTTATTCTAACATATACTAGTCTGGACAATGATGCTATGTAGAAAACGCAAACCAAATAAAGTCCCAGAGAGTTGGGTCTAGGGAGGGGTAGTGTACACAAACCTTACCCCTACTTGGAAAATAGAGAGATTGTTACCAAAAGAGGAAAGCCTAAAATAAAAAAAAAAGGCAAGACAAAGGCACTATGATGCAACATGCAAATCCATAAAAGCTCAGGCACACTAGAGTAATGAACTTCCCAAGTTCCCAATCTCTCTCTTTCTTCTACATGTATGACTACTTTCCAATGTATATATTGCTTGTGAAAATCCTCTCCATATCAAGGAATGTAGTTCACAATACTATGGCTTTACAGTTTACACAATACTAGTAGCCCTAGTTCCATAAAATTTAAACAACTTTCCTCTAAACAACTCCAGAATATGTACTAATACATTTAGATTTAGATACTTCGTCAATGATAAGTATTCAGCATTTAGGTGCTTAGATAAAACAATCTTGGTCTTAATGTTAGAAAATATTGTACATGTTCAGATTTATTATTTTCATAGGTTTTCATGTACCATTAACCTTCAAATCCTCATTTACAAGGTTACTCTTATATGCAGTACTTTGTAAAGGTTGTGTTTGTTTACTAATTTCTGGAATTCAATCAATTCAAAATGATAAGAGTCAAAGGCTTCGAAGATATATTGTGTCATTGTTTGAAAATAACTCTGATCTCAAATTGATTTTCTGCAAGTAATTCAACACAGAAAGTCAGAAGCACGCCAAATTAGAGCAAATTTATCAACTGTAAGATACAAAAAGAGTGAAATTTATGGGTTAGACTTTTTGAAAAGATTGTTTAAGGTATTTGATGGGTTAGACTTTTTAAAAAGATCGTTTAAGGTATTTGGGAACTATGGAGCAGAAAAATGGAGATCAATATTCCATCCATCCCACAATTGTCTGCACACTTAGACTTCACAGTTACTAAGAAAAGTATTAGAAAGATGATAAATGGTGAAAAGCCGCTAGCATTTATTTGGAATAGAGAGAATTGTCTTGGACCACATTCTTTTCCAAAAAAAACAACAACAACAACAACAACAACAACAACCCAGTTAAATCCCACAAGAGTAGGGTCTGGGAGGGTGTGTGTACGCAGACCTTGCCCCTACTTGAAAGTAGAGAGGCTGTTTCCAAAGAGACCCCCGGCTCAACGTCGAAAGTTGCATTGCTTGACTAACTGCTACTTCATTAATTAAAGAAGCGCAGACAGTTTAGAGATCCATTTTGATTTATTCCATCACACCCCAAAGCCAAAAAAAAATAGAAGGAAAATTATTTTGGGCCAAATTAAAAAGGAAAGTGAAAAAAACATATGTGGCACAGAGGGAGTAGAAGGATTCCACGCACAACCATTGCAAGTTAAGGTTAAAGAAAGCATTAGAATATCATATTTTGCAGGAAGAAGGCCTAGACACTAGGCACCCCTAGGCCAATTCAACAACTTAGCTCTATCTTCTCAAAAAACACTCTTGGATGATTTCTTTCCTTATTTTACCCATTGTAGTGTGCCCATAAATCCAACATACACTTTCCACTAACCTTAATCTTCATAACATGTGGTTATATTATGTTTAAGTATTCATTATATATATATACACACACACACACATACACATATACACAGACTCCCTCCATCCCAAAAAAATTGCAACATTACGCTAAATGAAGCAAATTTCTGAGTTTTTTCAGTTCATTTTATTTAAAGATTGGTATAGAAATAAAAATAGACTCTGCTCTGCTCTCTCCTCTCTCCTCTCTCTCGTGTGTAACGGCTCTTCCTCTTCCTCGGAGTAGTCGCCGGCTCTTCGACTCCCACCGTCCATCCTCCCTGCCGGTGGTTTAGACGGTCGTAGGACGGCGGCGGACGACGGCTAGGAGCACAGGTAAGT